CCTATGAAAAAACGTTAGCCACTGCATCATTTGTGTGATTTCAATGAAATTATTATAACTGTGTCTGTTAAGTATGCTCAACAGAGCTTGGTTAAAAAAAGCCACCATTTTATATACTAAAGGTTGCGCACTGCGTTACTTCGCTACATGCGTACATCCCTCGTACATGAGTGCGTTCAGTCGCAGCAGTGTTCAACTGATCGCGCTCCATTGGCTAAATCCTGCGGCTGCCTGCTAAGCCAATCGAGTCGCAACGTGTATGGAAAGGTTCTCACCACTTGTAAGAAGCAGATTTGGTGGCCTCGCAGCGCTAATACAGGGGGGGGGGCAAAAAAAAGAGCAGTTCCCGGCAGCCGAGGCACATACCAGTCAAGAATAAAGCGCAGGGCCCAGAGAAGATGTGGATACGAGTACCAAGGCAGAAGACACCCAAGGTCTTCATTGATAAGAAAGAGCAGGTCTTCAGCCATCACCTTTATGTACACCAAAATGTGAAGCATCTCCGGCCTATGGAATTCACACGTCACCTCCAAACAGCGGCGAAACTTCTTGTATCGAGTCACCCATGAAGAGTCACCTGGGGACAGGCACTCTTGATCAGGAAGAACTCCCACATCGAGCACCTCCGACAACGTCGCTACGGTCTAGGATATCATCTTCACTGCAGTGGCCAAGGCGAGGGTTGATGGTATGGACCGGAAGTTCCTGAGAGGGGGAGACCGGGCTAAGATTTTCTTCGTGGGCCGGACTGAAAGTCTTGGTTTGTGGGCCGGACTGTTAAATACATCGACTAGCTCGAGGAGAATACCTTGCCTTCATGTCGTCGCCTTTACCGTCTTGGAAACCTCGTAGTACTACAGGATTGGGTGCTAGCACATGAATCGAAAACTTCTCGCATACTTGGAATCGAAGGGCGTTGAGAACCGAGACGGAATAGACGGAATATCCATGTGTGTCACCTGACTTAAACCCCTCGATTACCGTGTTCAGGAGGAGCTCAGTAGGGCAGTCTACAATGGCGGAGAAATTAAGGACCTCACTGAACCCAGGCAACTTATCACGGTCAGAATATCTTGATGGAGTTCGTCTAGAAAGCTGTGGCGGAGTTTCGTGATCCTGTGCCATGTGTTGTGATTTGATGGTGGAAATGTCATATCAGAATTTAATAAAGTATTAAGCAGTGTAATGAAGTGAGTCAAAGCTACTTATTTTGCTTTTGGAAGTAAACGAAAAGAAGTGTCTCTTTTGCTCCCCCTGTAAATTGGGCGCCCGTGCAAACGAGACCACAGGTACAGCTGTTGGTTTACGATAGCGATGAGTTATAAGTAAGTCGTGTCCATGACTGCCATACACCTACATTTTAATCCTATACAGTATTCCTAAGCTGCCCAGTTGGGACGGTGAGGTATTTGGAGAGTGTTCGGTTGGCTCCCTGGATTGTAATATATAGAGCTTTTCGTTACCTTGGACGCAGCAAACTTCATTTTCCTGGACTTCTTTTTATTGTTTGCATTGAACCACATGAGAAGTAGAAAGAACTGAAATTGTTTGGTATTCGTGGGTATCATACTGATTAATCACGGGGAAGGGGGACATCATCACCGGAATACCATCGGTCTTCGATGGAAAAGCTCGCTGAAACAACCATCCCCAGTTGTCCCCTTAGCAGGCGCGTGGCGCCTTTTCTAAACCGAGGGCACCGTTTTGTCGCCCAACTGAAAGGTGCTATGCCGACTCATCGCCCACCGCAATCGCCCCCACAAATGGTCGGATAGTCACGTCGACGCTGATACTCTTGTCGCTTCATTTATGGAGTACAATGATCTGAAGTGCTGCTACATGGTCACGTGAATGCACACGTGCAGCCGTACCTACGCAAGCGATTGTTGGCACGATGCCAAGAGAAAACTCGTCCAAAATGCTCTCTGTATACCCGTCCAATGCTGAGCAAAACAAAGGACTCCCACAGGTTTTTGGTCGAATACGTTCGGTTTTGACTTTCCGTTATTTTCCCATTATTTAGCATCCTGCTCCTATTTTGGAGCAATGTACGCAAAATTATCTGTGGGCCTGTAAAAGGATAAAGGATAAAGTCTTCGCCGTTAATCAATCCCTTTGTGGGATGCGGCACGCATTCTACTTCCATTCAGAATCGTAGTGGCTTATTGAATGCGATGTGGCCTATACAATGACTTGCGGGGGCCAGCCGATGTACAAGTCAGTGTTCTTATCCTCCCAGACGAATCTGGTACCAATTGAAATCCCCAGAGGGTAGAAGGCTTGGTTGGCGTAGGTGGGTGTCGACCTGGGATTATATCGTGTCTATACCTCTAAAAATGCAGTCTGCACCTATCATGCGGCCTGCGCCTAGCTAAGTCTCTATGGTCCCTATGGATCCATCCTCCTCTCTACCGGGATGAGAGTTAAGAGCATGAAAGCGCGACGTAATGGCAGGCCCAACTCCGCCCTGCGATCAACATCATTTCAGTCTGATGTACTGCCGTACGCGCGCAGGGCGACCAAACCCCCTCAAAGAACTTAAATACATCGCAGTCGCTCTTGTGAAAAGGGCTCACATAGGGCTGATGATCGTGTCAAGCATACGATGACTGCTCCCTTTATGTCGCGCGAAGGTCACCCTCTAGGAAGTTAAAGTTTCACTGAGCTCACCTGATATGATGTAAATCTGCAGAAGGTATCCTGCGATTGGAATTAAATAAGTGAACAGACCGATCTGCAACAGCACAATAGTTACACCCTGCTCTGAGTTGCTGACCCTGATCTTACCAAATTACTATCGACCATCGCCCATGACAATAACTAAGAAATAAAAACTCTTTTGTTTGCGGAATGTGATGAGTGTCGTGATAAAGATATCACGCTTATAATCATTGTTATCCTCATAATTACGGTAGGGAACTTGGAAACTGAGTACTTGTACCGATGAGAATCCCGGATCCCAAAATCCTTCCGTTGTATACCGTTGGAAAGTCATTTTCATAAAGGTCGATAGTGATCCCCACGGTACAGTTGCTGAATTTCAGTGCAGACGAACTAACACGTCATGGGTCTCCATAGTGTGTGTTGTTTCGCTGGCCATCTCCCCGAATGTAGCGATCTTCACGTGGCTTCTCCCGTACTGGGTTTGCGCCTTGCGGCGTTTGCCTTACGGACTGGAATCTTACCCAACACTACTCCTCGGGAGAAAACAATCCCCAGAGGCACGAGGGCCCTCCTGCCCCCTCTAGACGTCTGCAATCGAGGCCAGGTGAATCCAAGCTCGAACTCAAGCGCGTTATCGTTGATGCGAACTCGCGCAGCGAATTCCCGATCCTGCTACGGCCGATGCATAGGCCGTCTCTGTCGTGAAAGATTCGCCCAGAGATCAATGCCCAAAATCAGCCCCAGAATTTTGCATAGGGAGCATGAACCTGGCAAGCCTTATAAGAAGACATGCTCCCGCCGATAAAAGTGTAATAGGAATAGTTGATGTTCAGTTATGAAACAGTAGCTGATAAGTAATTCCCCAGAAAAGAAAAAAGCAAGAAGAGTCCTCAAGAACACCATAAACAAAATCGCGCCCTGACAGTCACACACCTCTTTGCGGTTTCTGTGCAACCCCTGGCTCACAGATCTCTCTATCACATCTCGCAGTAGTGGATATTATCCAGTGCGAAGAGAAGAATACAAAAAACAAAACAGAGAGGAAAAACTCTTGAAAAGAAAAAACCTTTGAAAAACCGGCGTCCGAATTTAAGGTTACGGTAGCGTGCATATTTTAGTGTAGTGAAATGCTGCGTCGAGCTTTTGCACCACAAAAATTGGGTCGCTCGTGATTTTTACGCGTTTTATCTTGCGAGATGTGTTGGAGTTCACTGTATGTGCTCCTGATTAATAAAATGTAATAAAGGAGAGCAGAAGCAGAATCATTCATGGGCATGAGATTAATAAAATGTAATAAAGGAGAGCAGAATCATTCATGGGCATGAGCGCTGTCAGCGAAAAGGACATGCAATTCCGATTAATGCCCGCCGCCCCAACAAAGAACAACTGAGCGGCTCTCCGTCGGAGGGCATCTAGCAAGTGGGCGGTCCAACTGTTAGAACTAGAACTTTCAGCGGCTGTAGCTCGCTCCTCGCTCGCTGTGGAGTCGCGAGAGTGGGATAGTCTCTAGCTTGGGGGCTGTACTACTTGCACAAGGAAGGACGACCATGTACTACTCGAGCGCGGGGGCTGTCTTTAAGGCCCACAAGGAAAAAGCTACAAGAGGCATAGCACTCGCCTCCCTCGTAACTACTCTGATGAATGGCTACTTGCTGCTGACAAACTTGCTATTTTCTGCCCTGACAGCGAGGCACTACTGTAAAAAAAGACCTCTTCAATACTATCATTCCGCCACGTAAACAAGTCAGCTAGTCTTCGAAAATATATCCAGCCGATCCTCAAAAAAAAGTTTTATCTTGTGGTTAGACAAATCAGAATATTCTAAATTATTGACATCACTAATAAAACGTGGAAAATAGAAATCTCTAAAAAAGGCACATACAAAATGTGACCAAAACTAATTCTACGAACTTGAACATGGAATCTGTCAGGTAGTAATTGTCAGAACGTAAGCAACAAATCGAACTGGGGCATATGCTTCGTCAAGGGTGAAAAGACACAGCCCAAAGACAGAAATGCAAGTACCTGGTAATGTGAAGTACAATTTCAACACCGCTTTTAATGCAGCTAATGTTTGAACTTTACAAACTAGTAATGCAGAAGGTAAGACTAGTGGGCTTAAACAATCTGGCAGTACAAAGTCAACCTACAGGAGAGAAGTAGCATCCCAGCCTAATGCCGAGGAAATAGCTGTGAGGTAGTGCGAAACTGACATATCGAACTCCGCGATAAAAGATAAAACCATACTTTGAATATCATAACTTCTAAGGATCGCTGACGGATGGGAAGCCAAGTTTAATGTACAATTTTATCATGATACACATCTGTTTGTTTTTCTACCAGGCTTTTCCCATAAGATTGCTCATCAGTACAGCCAAGTCCAGACCGACTACAAATCCCATTGAGCCGTTGGTCAAATAACCAAGAGCAGCCGATATCTCGGAAAATATTCGTTAGGCGCACTCGATGTTTCAAATTTCCAGAAACGTACCTCAATCGGTAACACTTGTCATATAACTGTACAGTATTCATATCTCTGAGCGATAGATAAGTTATCGCTGGTCCCATCAACGCGCCAATCATTGCTCCAGTTGTTCCTCCATTTACGAACGACGCGCTAAAAATCAAAAGTACAGTCTTTATTACTGAAGCCGGTCAGGACGTGTCAGCAGGGTTTGGTTTTTGGCACAGCAGTAGCCCGTTTTCTAAACGATCGTTGCGGCTTTAGGCTTCAGTGAGCAGTGGAAAGCGCACTGGCGCCGCGTCAATGACACGCCCCGAATGAGTTCAGTGATAACGACTGTGAACAAGAGGTAAGAGCGTCTTTCATACCTGAGTGAGGGGTGGGGGGGTGGAGTCACTGACAAACTGTGCCTTGTTCTACGGGCAATCCCCCTGAAATCATTTTGACAGATGGCCCACCAATTAAGCAGACAGAAGTCCAAGTGACTCCACTCCCAAGGTTAGCGTGGAATGCGTTGAAACATGACGCCCTGTCAATGACAACAAGAATCGGCCCCTTGTGTGCATCCCAAATATTCCCAGACTATATCCTCACTATCCCAAAACTCCACATGCTAAGCGCTGCCGAACTGAAACGGCGACTGAGGATGAACCTGACTTTCACCTAAGATTTTCTGCATTTGCTGCCTTTCTCTCGAACATCACTGCTGACAGTGGGCCAAGCACTGAGCCGAGAAGTGCTCCAGTCTGAAAAAAATAATAAAGTTTGATTCACAAACATCTTAAATGCAAATCTATAGAAACCATTTGTATGGTCGTTCTAGCCGCAAAGCTTGGGGCGTGTCAGGAAGGAGCGCTGATTCGGCGCGGCGACACCAGTTATCGAGACGAGCAAGCGAGCGAATCGGTGGAATACGGGCCGACCGCTGCGCTAAACGCAGCCGCCTGACACGCCCCAGGGTCTCCAGCGGAAACGACTATACAGAGATTGCACACGTTATGTTGCGCTGAAGATACATACGATTGGAATCCGTCCAGGACTTCGCGCAAATTCCTCTCCAATCAGGCACGTCGAAAGTTGAAGGCTTCCAGCGAGGGGGGGGGGCAACTTGCGACGTGCTACGGGGGGCTCGTATTTGGCCGTCGCAGGACAGACGGGGTAGTACTTAGGTTTTCTCGATTTTTTTTTCCACTCTGATGTGCACATTCCTCCACCCCCCCCCCCCCACCTCGCTTAACGGTAGTCTCTTGAGAAATTGGAGGAATTTTTGGTTGGAAATCGGGAAGTTTTAGGAAGATGGTAAAACGATACGGGGTGGGGATGGATGCGGGGCGTGATTTGCAAAATTCCCCCCAGTGGCAAGATGTGCCCTGTTTCTAATGCCAGTTGTAAAGAAAGTTGGAAAATGAACATATCCTGCAACTAGGTCGCATGAAATCGCATTAATTTCCCACCTGAATGCTTCTTAACGTGACATGAATGCAGAACTCTGCAGTCGGAGCTGGAATTCGCAACAGCTCAAAATCAGATTGACGAACACCGAGAAAATTCTTCAACCAATATGTGCTCATGGCTGTAGATGTTCTAGAAACAACAAGATTCAGTTTTCATGGAGGATTTTCAGTATCGCAATACAGTTCTGTATCGAGGTCTCATACTGGTCAACGGCATCCTCAACTCGGCACAACCTTAAAAAATAACTCGAGGTATCCCGTCGAGTTGGTTGTCGTAGAGGGAGTGGTACGAGGGTTGAAAGGCTCCAAATGATCGCGGCGCCGCCCACCTAGCCTTCTATAAGCTCCACGGAACCTTAAAGGCAAAGCTCACGATTGCCAGTTTTAGGGCGTTGGGTTGATATCGTAAAATCCTACTCTGTATAATTCGCTAAGTATGTCTGTCAGTGTGTGTGTGTGTGTGTGTGTGTGTGTGTGTGTGTGTGTGTGTGTGTGTGTGTGTGTGTGTGTGTGTGTGTGTGTGTGTGTGTGTGTGTGTGCGTCTGTCTGTGTGTCACGAAATTCATAGCGCCGGTCCCAGTAGCAGTGAGACATTGATTTCAAGAAGTGATGTAGGCGGTGTGACGGGAACACTATTGGTGGGTGACAGGAAGTGATATCAGTTGATAAGATCCGATAAGAGGCGTTAGAAGGGGGAGGTCACCATATCATAACGCGGGTGACAGCATCTAGCTCTTGATTCTAAGATATGATATAGGGTATGGGCCAAGAACATCATTAGTGGGTGACAAGAACTGTAAGCTGCTGATAAGATTCGATAAGGGGCGTTAGAAAGGTGAGGTCATCGTATTCACAGCGCAGGTCACAGCATCAGCGAGGCGTACGTTTCAGCAAGTGATATAGAGGGTGAGATGGGGACATCAACCGTGGGTGACTGGAAGCGATAACTACTGATAGGGGCTGATAAGGGAAGTTGCAGTCGTCGTCGCTGTTCAAGGTGGTTCACGCTACCAAATCATAGAGATTTAGTGATGAGGACATTGATGACGGGTGACAGGTAATCTTATCAATCGATAAAAACGGATAAGATACCATCTGCGCTACATTTTTATCACTTCTTACCACTTAATGCCGAGTATTAGAGGCTCAGTCTGTGAACTCTTTCCTTTGATGGCAAAGAATCAAGGTCGTCCACTGAAGTATTTGCTTTTAGATCCAAATGGTCCCGAGCTGGGGGTATATACTGAAAACAGGGAATCTCCGCAGAATATTACATACTATGGGAGAATTTGTTAACAAATTTACGGGTTTAGCAAACTGGCTGATGGGTGATGACTCTTGTTAAGAGGTGGAGCGTCACTTGAAAGGATGGAGGACAGCATAAATAACGGCGGGGAGACCCGGAGCAGCCGAACAGTCGTAGAGGGATGTAGGGCGCGCTTGGCTGTTTATTGCGTGTAAATATCCGTCGGCCTGCGACACGGCAGCTTCCCCAAGTGTGCATTTCTTTACAAGCTAATGTGGAGTTCCTCCGGAGGCTACGACCCCAGGATTAGGGGGCCGGGAGGGCGGACTCCTGAGTGTACGGCCGGACCGGCACTGGTGGCTGGGTAGTATAGAGCGTATTTTCTGTGCATGTCCGGAACTAATTACATTACCCATTCTGATGTCGCAACTGCGATCTTTAATGGTATGGTGCAGCCTTCTCACGGTTGAAAGTCTGTAGTAAGCAAGAGGGACCAGATGTTGGTAGATAATGACTGATGTTGAGCTTTTTTCAACTCATTTTCCCCACATTAAAAAAATACCTGCCGCCTGCGGCACATTTAGCGCATTCTACAAGAGTGCCTGGCAAAGCCAGGTCGGCTCGGGGAAGCCGGCCATACAGAAGGAGGAGCACCCGGCGTTAGCCGGGTATCCGACTGGTTATTTAATAAGTGAAATACAAGTGGAGAAAAAAATCAGATCGTCGAAAGCGCCCTAAATAAGAACCCTGTTGGTTATTAGCATGAGTGTGGAAAAGAGAAGTTGAACGAGGTATGACTGGGGAATATACATATGCTCTAGTATACACACACCTCACTGCTAGTAAGCCATTATAAAACCATACCGGTGAGGGTGGATCTAACCACAGGAGGCGGGGCTAGGTTATCGCAGCTTAGGCAGGGCGTTTTTATCAAGCAACTTCGAGTCGCAAAAGTCTTACATTGTCTGCGATTGCGAACGCGCCACTTCGTTCAAAGAAGGACAATTACCAAGTCGGACCACAGTTGACGCTGTGTCTGAGTTTGCGTTTAGAATAAGTTCCCCGGAAAGTACTCATAAAATTGAAAAAAGTGGAAAGAAATGACTCTGGACGCAGTGATGCTTGGGGGGGGGGGGGGGGCACGCGCTGTAATGCGTTGCATTTGAAGCTTGTTAAGTCGTGTTGGCTGTATACTTAATGAATACCAGAAATCGCGTTTCATCCTGTAAGCTCTGTAAATCCGGTTTCCCTGTTAACTCCTATCAAGCTCTGTATCTGTGGCACATCTCCGATATATTGAGGGTAATTTTCAAGTTTGACAGCAGTTCACAGGGTGTACAAGGCTTACGGCTGCCAAGGTGGTCCAGTACACAGTTTACAGGATATGGCATGCTGCCAAGCGCTCACAGGTGCACCCCCCTCAAGGTTATAACGCGCCGGCGCTGTTTGTCGACAGGGGGGGGGCATTTGTACTATCATTGCTTCCTCAGTTCCGGTTTACATGTCTCACTCTGGCGAAACCTGTGAACTCTTGTGAAGCTGGAACAAGGTAGTCAAGCCATCATGTTAAAACCTGTCAACTCGAGAAGAGGCTGTCTAGATAGGCGACACATCGATGGGAAGTAGCAAAAGTGCAAAATGCCCCCGTCGACAAACTGCGCCTAACGCGCCTGAAATCCTCATTTACACAGTACAAGCATTAAGAAGCAATAATGCAGAGAATAAACTGCCTTTTCAAATCGTAAAACGTGAGAAATAACTTTTATTCGACAGAAAATAATCACAAATGAGGTTCCCCACAAGGGAATGTATACAACGCAGTGGAACGCTAAGTAGACGACATAGGAAACGTGTAAAATGAGTATCAGGCTAAATGCTTCAGCTATATCGAAAAAATAGAATAAAATTAGCTTCACACTATTGCGAAAAGGGAAAAAAACGAAAATAATTCTGGCTACAAGAAAAGTGACAGCTTGTATTATACTTCCCTACGATACAAAAAAGTGACCTCAGAAAAAAACCAAGTGACAAAAACGGATACTTATTAAGGAGTTCGCACAATGAAATCAACTTAGAAATATAGCAATGGTGGCAATAGAATAAAGAATTTGAGATTCTTCGGAAAAAAGCTAGTTCATCAATCAAAACATGGAAGCCGTGTCGCTTCAAACTCACAGAATCTGATCCCCTACTAATCCTTCACACCGAGAATATAATAAAAGCAAAAGGAGGCGCTGTTCGGACTCGAAGGGGCATTTTCATTAAAACCTTTTGTTAGTTCGGGTTTAATAACAGATCTCATTCTGAGAGGCTGTAATCTCGTGTGAAGCTGTACAAGTGAGCCATCTCATCAACATGAATTTACAGGTCTTCACAAGGTAGCCTGTGCACCATTTTGTGCCCCTACCAAGCCGAACTGCGCCAAAAAATTATTTTAAAAATGTAAAATTAAATCGTATGGTACAGGACTAAATTATGAGCTATAAATAGCTTAATCCATTTTATTTATACATACAAGTTGAGATCTTCGTTGTTGCAGCTCTTCTCTCTTAGGAAGGTGAGGTTACAGCGGATAGGTCCCCTTTCAGATTTACAGCAGTACTTTCCATTATACTGGTATCATTCAGACCAGTCTGTTTGTAAGGTGTTAGATCAAAGGTTAGCACACCCGAAGTGGGGCAACCGGCCGCCTCGGGATAAATTCCAATCAAAGCATCAGCCTAAAATACAGAATATTCTATTGCCTAAATAGCAACTGTTCGTATAAGAAAAATGGTGCGCAGTTCGCAACGGGGAGGCTTCCGCTGCTTCCCATGGTCGTGTCGAGCCATCAAGTAAAGATTTGTGAGATCTTGTGAAGCTATAAAGTTTCCAGTCAAAGTTCGTACTAACTAATTCTCAACTCTTGTGAAGACGGTTAGCAGGACAACGAGAAGCAGCGAAAGTGCGTTAGCTCCAGGGTGTTCTGCCCCTTCTACGCCTCCTCCCTTCCCCGATCCTGAACTCTACTACCTGATCATTTCGTCGCAAAAACGTTCACTGACAGTCAAATGCATTAAAAAACCGAATGGGTTCAAAATGGTCAATAGCTGTAGCTGATGAAAATTGGCAAGCGCGACTTCGGATACAGCCATGTACTTCGTGTGAGGACTACTACCGTCTGAAAGGGTGGTTTTCAGCCCTAGAACCTCAGAAATGGTCCTTGAAATGTCCCCTTCTCAGCAAAGCGCTGACTCAATACACTGCATACGAGCTTGGAAATGCTGACAACGCCAGATCGGGTATTAGCGGAGAACTTCGTTGAGAGCCACATTAGAAGAGGTAAGCGGGTGCGTACCTGATCGCTGGCAGGAAATCGGGCTGACCTGGGCGAATTCACAAACCTTTCCGAGCGCAATTCTGTTTCTTCCCAGTAGATGAATACTTCCTCATTCTGGTGGGAACTTCTGGGAAACTAGGAAAACTGGAAGGGATACAGAGAGCTTAGGATGATAAATGGTAATAAGGAGGGTAAACAGGGGAAGGTGAACACATTATAAGAGGGATTTAGGAGAAGGGTCGCAGTGACACCACTATTTTACGTATCACGATGCTGTACCCGTCAGGCATACAATCGGTAGAAGAGGCGTCATCATACACGAGCAACGGGCGCAGTTTGACGACGGAGGGGGGGGGGACATTTTGTACTATCATTGCTTCCCTAGTTCCGGTTTACAAGTCTCACTCTGGCGAAACCTGTGAACTCTTGTGAAGCTGGAGCAAGCTCATCTAGCCATCATGGTGAAACCTGTCAACTCGAGAAGAGGCTGCCTAGATAGGTCGACACGTCGATGGGAAGAAGCAAAAGTACAAAATGCCCCCCCCCCCCCCCCGCCGTCAAACTGCACGTTTCTCACCACTAACTGGGACTGGGCAGATGCTCCAGCAGACAATGAAGAGGGTGAATTGCTTCTGTCAACAACTTTTTTCCTGAATTTTGTTGAGTCAAAACGATTTGGAAAGCGATGCAGTAGTCGCTCCAAAGGGAGGGGGGGGGTGGGTCGAACTTCTCCGAGGACAAATTTCTAGACAAATCGCTCTGGGACGAAGTTTTTTCTGGGAAAATAGCTCAAATTTCAAAGAGTGAAGTTGTGGAGGGTAAACACCGCCGAAAACATTAGCAACTACCACCAAAATGTGACCTTACCTTGTTATAGAATTCCTCTTTCAGTGAAATAATGATGATTTGTATGTCACTACGAGCAGATTCACAGATGAAGGAGGACACCTGTAGAAATGTTTCTTAATCAAAAAGTTACAAAGTTTATGAATCTCGAAGCTTTAGTACCTTTCCAATGTTCGTGTTATCAAGTGCAGCATCGATCTCATCCAGAACAAAGAAAGGTGATGGATTTCGGGCATGCATAGCGAACAGCAGCGCCAAGGCAGCTACAGTTTTCTCTCCTCCAGATAGATTATCCATCGGTCGGAAGCGCTTACCAGGTGCAACACAGTTATACTAAAAAACAATTGTTACAAATGTAAATTGTTCCAGTTTTTTCATCAACATTATCATGTAAACTATGTTTCAGTTCAATTTTCGGGCGCGAGTTGGTACCTTATGTTGAGGGAGCGCCCGCGAAAAGAGCATGTTTATACTCCGCGATATCATAGTCTGGATCGCGCGATCGGATCGCAAAGTATGAACGCGCTCGAGACATGGCTTTTCTTACCGTGGTCGAATGGGCATACTGTGGCACCCTCAGGCACGTCAAATCAATTAAGACTTCATGAGAACGCCACGCTGCAAATCGCACAAGCGAGCTTATTTCACACCGCTTCCATCGTGCCCACGCAGCCAGGATTTATCGAGCAGCGCCCGTGTTTTTCAATTTCGGTCAATGGTATGGTCAGATCACGTTTGTAAGGCAGCGTTCAGACTTGTAGCGCTACAGCTGCAGCGCGACGTAGCGCTACAAGTCTGAACGCTGCCTAAGCCAAGTTTCTTTCGGGAAAATATGCTAGGGCATACAGAAAAACACAGCATAGAAGGTGGAACTGACCTGTATACCTTCCAAATATGGTTCCTCCATGTTCTCAGCTCCAAGGAATGCCTGAGCGCTTGCATTTCGGGAAAGAGCCTGAATTCCGGACATAACAAGCTAACCATTTACTGAATGACATTTAAATACCCATATCTGAATTGAACATTTTGGTTGTAAATGAATGCTTTCCCTCTATATTAGGTTGGCGGGAAAGTTCTGTCACATTTTTTTCAAACTAGGCTTTCTTTTTATAGAGAGGAGTGTAAGATCAAAATTGTACAGCAATGTAACTGCGGGGTCCTTGCCACTGTTTGAGCACCTCATGGATGCCATCGCTTCACTATGCAGGGAGACACGACGCAAAGTTGGACACCATCTCAACCTCGACTTGAACTTGGGTTATGGAGGTTTTCTCGTCCGATCGATTACGGAAGGCAACTTGCTATTAGAAGGGGCGTTGTCTGTGCTACAAAAGTGCAAGGGGAGAGAGATCAAGCTCCATTGCATGAGGTACGGCTCGAACTTTTTTGACCTAAGCTGCGTCTGATCCACGATAACGCCTTACAAGGGACAGGTCGTTCAGTGCGTGTGAGCTTTTCCAAATGGTCTTGTGCATATTGTAGGGGCACATACGAGGACCAGAAAACTGAGGTTCATTTTCGCTGCGCGCTTCTACGAATAAAAAAAAACGTAAAAAATAGGTTGATGGTTCGGATCCGCGCCGAGGACAAAATTTTGCTTTTCTACAATTTTTCATTTTTTGGATCCATGTTTGTCTAAATAAGTGGTCCTAACAAAAACATTCACGATAAACTGAACAATCCTACTTTTATGGAGCAAAACTGCTTTTTCGTTCGAATTCGTTAGTATGCACAGACTCAGCTCTTCGGCGCTATGCCGGTGCCAGATGGCACTGGAACCGAAAATAAAGTCTAGAATCGTGATCAGGACTGTCGATTACCCCTAGGAGCAAGTTTTGAGCGAAATTTTTTTTGACTTTTTCGGGTTGTAGGTGACCGACCATTTGGTCGGCAGTGTGAGCGGAGTCTCACATCTTCGTAACAGCGATGCGTATCGTTGACGCTACGGACACCGGACAACCCAATAAGCAAACCCAAGAAGGTCAAAACAATTGTTTTGACCGAAAATTCGTTTTTAGTGGTAATCAGTGGCCCTGATCACAAATATAACACCTATTCTTGGCGTCCACGCAATCTGGCGACAGAATAGCGCTGAACGTTTCCTATATTGGTGTACATAACGAATTCAGTGGAAAGAAGATGTGGCCCCAAATTGTCTATAATCGCACCACACCAGAAAATTAACTTAATTGCGCAATCAAATCACTGTTAATCTAGCTATGAGGAACAACGTCCAGTACCAATCTTCTTGTTCAATGGTGCGCGTGAGAAATCGAAATATTGAATAGCCCGACTCATGACGGTGTACTTCTCAGAAATGTGCCCAATAATGGCAAAATATCGAGTCTATCATGCGCAGACAGAAATGGAAGCGAGAACAGCGAAACTTCTAAAAAAATGCAAAAAGCGACGACGCAAGGGGAGCCGAACCATCAACCCCACCCCCATTGTCCGCGATTGCGCAACCTCCACTCTATCCACTAGGCCATCCGATGCCGACGCAGCTACGCTCTATCGTGATGAACCAGTGGCAAGAAGCCGTTCACGCCTTGCAGCACGATGACCCCAGTTGGAAGCTCACTTGCCGACGATTTCACTTCGATTCAATATCCCGCTCTTTATAAGTACCCCCACACAGCAACTGGTCAAAGTTGCAAGTGACCCACGCCGTAAAGAGGCCCAGAACGAAGCAGATTCCAAAGATTTCTTTTCACTCGTTTTTTACCGTTCCTGGAAGCGCGCAGCGAAAATGAAGCACACTTTTCAGGTCCTTGCGTGAGCCCCTACAATATGCAACAAACCGTTTTCGAAAAGCTCACCACGCCCTGAACGACCTCCTCCCTTGTTTAGATCTCGTACTGCTTTGCCTTGCGTCTTGACCAAGGAAGCAGCTTCTTCATCCAGCAGTTTCCCGACCCATAGCTTCCTCAAGCTGACTTGAAGAGTCACTGTCGTGGTAAGGTTGCTCGATGATTGGGCATCGTGCTTATTCAGCTCCATCAATTTGGCATCTGCAGCTAACACGCTGGCGTCAGGGTGGTGGGTGAAATAGTTTGTGGAAGTTGGTCGGGGCTGATGGTAGCGGATAAAATCCTTGTGCATATTGCAGAAGAAGGAGCAAGAGGCAAGCGAGTGGTACTAACAGAGAGACCACTCCTTGTTGTACAAGAGCTTACATTACCGGTTACCCCTCTTGCTAATGAGCAAGTAATGAGTTCGAAAATAAGTGACAAAACTTTTCCGCCAACCTAATATCTTCTTAGGGCCAGCTTGGCATTGTCCATTTAGGAGTTTGACCCCTGGACGGCGCGCGTGATAAGCACACCACTTGTCCCACCTCATCTACGCTTTCTATGCCTTTCTAAGCAGCTACATGTGCGTGCCGTTTCCTTTGTCGCTGTCAAATGCATTTTTTATTGCTATCATTCATGGCGCATCATGTACAAGCGAAATAAATGAGTAAATAAATAGATAAACAAATAAATAAACAAGCGACTGCTCGCTTGCAACAAAAATTACCTTGTAGATTTCATCGATTTTTTGGCTAACAGTCTCGAAGCACTCCTGGAATTTCCGGTACCGCTCAGTTTTCACTTTTTCGAAGTACGTCCGGATTTTCCTTGCTTTTTTACGTGCCATCTCACATTCCTCAGTAGTCTCCGCTTCTCGTTCCTTCACTTCTTCCATCCTGACAACAAAATTTGCCATCAACAAAATTACAATTTTACAAAAGAAAGAAGGGATTGAATGAAAAAACGCATCGCCAAAGCACTGGCCCATAAGGTAGAAAATACAGTGAGAACACAGATTAGATTAAATTAGAAACATAGGTGCACATCAGACAAAAAAGTTTTTATCCACCCCTCTTCGCAGATTCACCACTTCTCCTATTCTCATGAGTCTCCCGATTTTTCCAAAATGCGCTACATAGTCAATTTCTATCTGGCCATTTTCACTTATTTCCCGAGTCTTCAACGGCGCTGTTCATTAACTGGGCCTTATCCAACCTGAAAGGCACGCCGCGTTCATTTGATGAGCAGACGCCTTCTGAACAAGGTAGCCCTGTCCGAAAGTAATGAGGTTGTACTACTACCACAGCTCAAAAATACAAGACAGCGCGACCTACAGTCGTCATCCGGACTTAATTAGGCGGCGCAGAGGTGCCGACCGCTGTCTCGTGTCCTCAGAGCGCGGCGATCAGCTGTTTCCAACCTATTTTAGCCATTTTCTCCCTAATTTACGCTGTTTTGGCTGCTTTTCTCACAAATAGTTGTTCCTTGAATTACACAAGAACAACTACGATTGAGTATCTTCTGGATTCCTGTTTCGCACAATTTAAACAGTTTGAGTAGACATCGATACAAAACCTGAAGACAGAAAAAACGCAAAAACACTCTATTGCAAAAACGAAAAAAAGACTACGCCCTGAAGTACTGCATAAGGACGATAAAGCAAATGGCCTTGGAAAAAAAATAGAAAATCCCGTGAAAATCAGGCAGAAAATGGCCAAATTAGGCCGGAAACAGTTGATAAAATTGCCACGCTCGTGACACGCCGCAGCCGCGTCGCGACCCTTGCCGCCCCAATCAAGTCTCCGGATGACGACTGTACTCGCGACGAGGCTACGGCTCCGCCCACTGTCCACGGCAACGTCTAGCTTTCATTTCTGAGGCATCTGATGGTGCGGTTGTTCCTATACTAGCTCTCTCTCCATTTCAGCTGGTGAAAATCGGGTAAAAAAGGGAAGAATCGATACCGGCGAGTGAGAACTCGTCCGACCACGCCCTTTCTTCGCCTTATGCCGCACAGCACTGTTCTGAACGTGTTCTACATGTGCCATTTCGGGCGGGTTTTTTAGGGCTTTTCTCTTCACTGCTTGTTACTTACCATCTTGTCAACAACATTTGAGCAGCACAAATCACCGTTCTTCAAAGGGAAGGGTGCCCTTACCCCGCAATAGTTAACAAATCACAAAACTATACCTTTGACTTGCTTTGAGATTGGGCGCATTCAATCGCGATAACGTCGTCTGAGCGTCATTTATTTCTTTGTTCATTCTTTCAACATGCCTCTTAACTTCTTCTTCGTCTTTGAGCTACAAAAGGAAGAAACTGTTGCCAGCACAACAGATAACAAATGAGTTAATAAATTAGTAACTGAGTCTTACATCCTTCAAATTCTCAGGAAGCGCCTTATAGTTGACTTTTATTTTCGATTCTCTTTCAATTTGCTCTTGCGAAAGGTTGTTGGAGTTTGTTGGTTGACTTCCATCGGTACTTTCTGTAAAAACCGTGCCATTATTGAGGGTTGTCAAGTAATCAGACACACTTTGTGACCCTTACCATCTTCATCTTCAGCGTCAACATCAGCCAAGCTGCCTGAGGTGAGTGGAATTTGAACCTGGTTGATCTTCGCCGAGTGTAGCAATGCATGTCTTTCAGCATGTTTTCGGCTAACCAAGCTCTCTAACGCCAGAACTGCTTTCTCGGCACCTGTCACTTCGCGTTGGGCTGCCTGAAAAACATATTCGAGTTAGATAAGAATGAAAACATTTCTCACCCAACGCAAAGGTATAAATCAACAAGGCTGACAAACGTTAGTCCTGAAGTAAGCAGGGACAATATGAACTGTTTGTTATAGGAACCTGGACACATCAATCCGAAAAAAAATCCAGGCTCAAGCTCTCTAGGGGAACGAGTCAAGGGATATGTGGGAGAATCGGCCACACAAGCTGGTAAAGAATGACGTGATGTGGGTTGAAGTGAGAAAGTAGGTAGTGAAGTATGGACTGGAAGGGTTACAGACCGTGCCGTCACAACAAGACTACAATGAGGGTTCAGCTGGCAGCCGATGCAATTGAAATAATCAGTCTATCTTATCAGACAGTAAGCATCACCGTTTAACTTTGCAATAGAGAAAAACTTGCTGGAAAGCGATCGTTTGCCGAGGCGCACTATCAGTCGCAATGTGTTGATCAGACGATAGTACAGCAAATGATCAGACAACAAATCACCGCCGTCATAGCACACTGCATGAGTCGTCAACGTCCGCTTGCGAAGTAAACAAGTCTCGTTCACCGCACAAATAGTTTAACAACTTTTCCATGGCGGCAACCTTCAAGTCTTCCATTTCTTTCTCTAAACGCGCTAGTACTTTGCCTTCCTTTGTTTCCTTTTTCTTCAGAGCTTCCAGTTCCTTTTCGAGATTTTTCACCTAAAACGTAA